TGCGCCTCTGGGATTGTAGTTGCAGCTCCTTGCCACTAGGCCACCAGAGCTCCCCTCATGCACATATATTATTGGCTATATGCTTCTATTGCTCACAGATGATGATAGTAGTTTAAACCCAGAAATGTGTATTTTATAAGGGGTTCTCTGAGTGAGTCTGGGGATGTTCCCAGACTCACTCTTAAGATCTCTGGGGTCACTTCTTAGGTGGGGGCTCAGAAGGCTGCTGTCTGAGACTTGCTGTCTGTGGTGTACAGGGTCCCTTCCAGGCCAGCAATGGCCGCTGAGAACTTAATGGCACCAAATGCAGTTCTGAAAGGCAACGATGAGGTCCCACCTGTTGGGAAGCTCTTCCTCTTTACAAGAGGCAGCTCTTTCTGCCTGTCACTAGCATGGGCTTGAAAACAGGCTGTGACCAGGACATGTCTGAGACGACTCTTGGTTCTGACTCACTTCTGGCTCCCTTTGTGGCCCCAGGCAGGCCTTCTTAACTCTCTGCGTCTTAGGGAGCTGAGTCCTGTGGTTTCACTGAGGGTTGCACCTTTGCAGCATTGGAAGTGGGCGTTAAGGTCTGCAAGGTGGAGTTTGGTCCACAGGCAAGGGCTCACTCTACTTCTCTGAGGATTGAAACGAAATTGGAATCTTTGGAGTCATGCTTTCCATGGATTTACCAATGTCTGTCCTTCCTTGCTTGCACGATTTTTTTGCTCCCTCAGAACAGATGAGAGCATACGTGGGGATTTGTGCAGACCAAGCCCTGAACGAGGTGTCAGGTTGTGCTGTTGGGATTTTCCAGCCTTAGCTGGACTTGGGTGTGTTATCCTTCACCATTTTAGGGATAAGAAAGTAGGTGTTCAGGGAAGCCAAGTGGCTTAGAATATCCAGCTCCAGTGTTACAGACAGTTCTGAGACTCAGCTTTTCTACCTTGTGAAGCCTCAGTGAGTACAGACCACAACCAGCACAGAGGTCTGAAATGTCTGAGTTCTCAAAAACGTTGACATCCTGTTGGCTGCTTCTAATGTATCATTAGTTCATTAAGCTCATGCCCTTGAGGACTTCATATGTACCGACGTGTCCTAATGCAGTCACCCCGCTCGGCACCACGTTCCCTTAGACTCCGACCCAGCGCTCAGGGAGTGACTGAGCTGGTCTGACTTGCTCAGCTTCTCAGGAAAGGGCCCCAGCCTCCCACGTACCACCGAGTCCGAAATTGCTCCTTCACCTTTCCCAGGCAGGTCTCAACATTTCAAAATCACTCATCTCTTTTGAATGCCCTCTATTCGCTAATGAGGTTTTGGGAGAGGGGGCTCTTTGGGGATGCTCAATACTCTTTTTCATTTGGGTTTTGTGATGTAGAAGCTGACACTTGGGCCTCTGAGTGATTGGGCTAGCATCCACAGGGCTCTATGTGTATGCTTGTTTGTTTTAAAGCTCCTGTTAGTTAAGCAGGGAACGCTGGTGGCTCAGTGGTAAAACCCCCAAAGGCATGCAGTTCAAATCCACCAGCTGCTGTGCAGGAGAAGGATGGGCAGTCTCCTCTTGTGCGATTTGCTGCCTCTGAAAACTCGCTGGAGGGCCAGCTATGAGTCGGTTCTGACTCAACAGTATACAACAATTAATTGAGCACTTACTATGTGTGTCGCGAGCTAGGATGTGTGTGCTAAGATAAGAAAACAAACAGATTCATCCTGGACAGGGTTAAACCAGGCTGCTCCTTGGAGGCAAGGATTCTGAAACTTCGTTTGGCGTACTTTGGACATGTTGTAAGGAGAGACAGGTCTTTGGAGAGGGACATCATGCTGGGTAGAGTGGAGGGACAGCGCAGGAGGGGAAGACCGTCTATGAGGTGGATTGATTCAGTGACTGGGGTAATTGGAATGGGTGTGTCAGAGGCAGCGCGATTGGCACAGGATAGAGCAGGGTTTGGGCTGTTGTACATAGGGTCGCTATGAGTCGCAAATGACTCGATGGCACATAACAACCACAACGACAGTGTGACTTTGGTAAGTGGTAAGGAGCTGTGCTGCTAAAGGCAGATGGTTCAAATCCACTGGCTGCTCATAGGGAGACAGATAAGCAGTGTCCTCTCATTGTTCGATTTACGGCCCCTGAAAACCCACAGGCGGGTTAGCTGTGAATCAGTTCTGACTGGACGGCACATAACCACGACCACCACAGTTTAACGTGAGGGAGCTCTGGGGGCATGGTGGTGCCAGTAATTTAAAAGCCTTGCTTCTCTGGCAGTTCAGATCTACCTCTTTGGACAGATGGGCTAGCTCCTTGTGGACCATTTACAGCCTTGGGAATGAGCTGGAGGGTCAGCTGTGAGTCAGGTCTACTGAACAGCAATGAAAGGAAAAGGAATTTAGCTTCCTCTCCATGCCAGTCCTGTAAGGAGGTGCTTCTGTGTTCCTCTTTCATGAAGGAAAAAAGAAGCTAAAAGTCAGGGTCATTAAGTCAGCACTTACTGAACTCACCCCACGCTCAGCCGCCTCTGAAGCGTGAAGTCAGCCGGAGAGACTGGCTGGGGTGCGTGGACCATGACTCCCTGTCCCTCCGCCCTCTGATTCCACTGGCCCTTCAGCTTTCTGTGGTCTGTTGTTCAGTACAGCCCCCGAGGTCCTCTCACTCTTCCTTTTCACTGGGGTTTTGTGATGTAGAAGCTCACACTTGGGCCTTTGAGTGGGTGAGCTAGCATCCACAGGTTTTGTTTGTTGGTTTTGTTTGCCCGTGTGACAGAGAAAGGCGATGCCACAGTGCCCACCCCAGAGCAAGTGGAGAAGCTGACAGAGGTGGCCGATGTCCCTGCGGACTGTGCTGTCACCGAGCGCCTGGCTGTGCTGGCCTTCCTGTACCTCTACCTGTCCGTCTTCCGGAAGCAGAGGTGGGTGTGCGGTGGGGGTGGGGTGCGTGGGAAGAGGTGCACATGCGGGCAGATCATCAGAAAGGTTTCTCAGGTGGCTGCTGCTGGGGAGTTTGAGTGCTCCCTGTCAGGTCACGGTCAACCACCGGCCGTGCTCCCCGTGTGCCAGGTACCCCCTAGACAACGTCTTCAGTGTTACTGTTTTATTGTTGATGTTAGCCCTGTGAGAGAGGCACTAGCCCCATTTCACACACAGCGAACCTACAAGATTCTTTTTATTTCTATTTTTTAATTGATACTTTAATGAAAGTTTGCCAAAAACTTGGATTTCCATTCATTTGTTGTTGCACAATTTCCTCCTTTCCCGATGTCGCCCCCCCACCCTGGTCCACTTTGCTTTGCACCTCTTATTCTGGACTGTTGTCATGCAAATAATACCTGATCATATATTCCTTTTAAACCGTTCTTTCCCTCATCTGTTTCAATGCAGTATTCATTATTTATCCCCTTTTTTCTTAGTTTCCTTCCAACCCCCATGTCATTCCTATTATATAACAATGGCATTACGCAGTATTTTTCCTTTTGTGATGGAAATAATTTCACACAGTATAATGTCCTCCAGTGTCGCCCTTTTTGTGTGATATTTTATGAGCTCCTTGTTTTTCAGTGCTGTGTGAATATATCACAACTTCTCTGTCCATTCATTTGTTGATGGGCACTTGGGTTGCTACTGTGAACAATGCGGCAGTAAACAAACATAGGTGGGCATATATCTGTTTGGGTGGCAACCTACAAGATTCTTAAGGCCTATGCAGCTAATTAGTAAGTGGTAGAAATATTGAACTAGTAAGTTAATGTTACTGCTAACACTTAGATTCTTAACTCCACCTGCCGCCTCTGTTCTCTTTGCTTCGGTAGAATCTGAAGCAGATGGGATTCTCTGTATCTCTGTATGGCTTCTATAGACACCTTTGTTCCACCCACTGCGGATCCCGGCAAGCTCCCTGATTAGCAGAGTATCTCTGGCCCTAAGATAAGATCTGTCTGCTCTTTGAGAAGCTGGCCCCTTGAGGGTCATTGCTGAGAGGGTGCCAGCTGGCGGGAGAGGATGCAGGCTCGGGAGTCAGACTGTGTGACAACCCCGCTCCCCACACCAGGGTACTTGACGTTCTCAGTTCTTAGTCTTTCTGAGCCTCAGTTTCCTCCTATGTTAAAAGGGAACAGTACTAGTCTCCAAACCATAGATATTTTGGAAGGAGGTTCCATGAGTTATTGTATATGAAGCACAGTGCTTGACACATTGCTTACGAGTTTGCTGTTGTTAGATTAGCTGCTCTTATTTCTCATTTCCTCATAACTATTGAGAGGGGTCTCTGGTGGCTTGGTGGTAAGGAGCTGCACTGCGGACCCAAAGGCACGCGGTTTAACACACAGCTGCTCTGTAGGGAGAAAGATGGACAATCTCCAGTGTGATTTATAGACTCTGAAAACTTCCTGGAGGGTTAGCTGCTAGTTTGACTTTGACCAGATGGTACGTGACAACAACAGCAACAGAACTATTGGGAGGTTAGAGGTACAGAGAGATCTGGTGACCCAGTGAGTAAGGAGTTGCACCACCAACCCAAAGGCAGGTGGTTCAAAGCCACCCACTGCTTCTTGACAGAAAGATGGAAGTCTCCTCCTGTGTCTCCTCCTGACTCGACAGCACATACCAACAGTGACACCAACATGTATACTGGGCCTAGCAGAGTGCCTGGAACGTGCCTGTCCAGACTCGAAGGGAGAACCTCAGGGGACAGCCCCTCACTCCTACAGCAGTGCTGACCCAGCCACATTCATGTTGCGCAGGGTCCTGACACTTGGCTGTGTGGTGCAGGGACTTTTTGTCTGAGAAGGGCGTGTACCCTCCATGGGGGACATTTCAGAGTATCCCCGGATGGGCATATAAAGTTTGAAAAGACACATTCAATATTATAATTTTATGTTTGGAAACTGGGAAAAGAATCTAAGGGAAATTACAGAACAAGACATTGACAGCCCTCGGCTGGGGAATGTGAGTGAAAAGCTGGAGCTTCTCGTCTAGCAGCCCAGGCTTTCTGATTGGGAAGGACTGTCTGACGGGAGCGGCTTCCACATGAGCACCGGAGCCGCGTACGGTAACCGTGAGAGGCAGTGAGGCAGGGTTAGAAGTGGAGAGCGAGGAGGCACCTATGTGGTGGTCACGGAACGCTTTACAGAGGAAGTGACATCTAAAAGGGTCTTGAAGGTTGAGTAGGAGTTTGTTCTAAACAGAAAGACCAGCCGGTGCCCACGGCAGGACCGTGGAACATGCACAGAAGCAGGAAGGTGTGGAGAGAAAGGGCTTGGTGGATGGCAAGGTGCATTTCAGAAGAGATCTGCTTTGGCAAAGCTGATGTTTATTTTCTAGTTGTCGATTCACCGCAGGTTTCTGCCATCCAGTGGAGATGCTTTGGGGTGGAAAAATCACTGAGAGTTCACAAAACAAGGCCCAGTTCTTGGAATCAGGTGCTAAGCCTCGGTGCCTGGTCCAGTGAGGGCACACACTGCCCTCAAGAGAATCAGACTTTGCACCTTTGCACCTGATATGTTTCAGGGCCCTGCCTAGCCTGGACATCGTGGTGTGGTCAGAGCTGCCCACCGGCGCGGGCCTGGGCTCCAGTGCGGCCTACTCCGTGTGTCTGGCAGCCGCCTTGCTGACTGCGTGCGAGCAGATCCCCAACCCTCTGAAGGACGGCGATGGCATCAGCAGGTAATCGTGCCCCTCACGTGGTCACTGCCTGTCCCCATCCACTGGGAACCACACGTGCATTCCTTCACCAAAGACTCAGCATAGTCTGTCCTCCAGATGGGGATACTGAGGCCTAGAGAGGCCAGTTGGCTGACACTGGGCTGCACGGCTAGCGAGTGACTGAGCAGGATTGGAACTGGGTAGTCTACACCCAAGCTCTGAGCTTGTACGCTCAAAAACTACTGTCTTTGCTTCCCTCACCTCCCTCTTGACTCTTTGGAGCTTGAGTGCCTGTGATTTGGTAGAATGTGAGAGGGGATACTGGCTTAGACAAACCTGCCGTTGACCTCGGTAGACTCTCCGCTGAGTCTGGAGCCTCGGAGCTTCACTTCCTCCAAAGCGAAATGCACTGGTAACACCACAGGGGGTCAGTGTGAGGTTTCACCGCCTGGTATGTTGTTGGTTTTGCTTCTGGGGTTGATTTGTGACTAAGGAGACCCCCTATGTGTTACAAACTAGAGCTGCTTTGTGGATTTTCTTGATTATAATCTATATATACATGGACTGCTAGGAGAACAAACAGGTTCTTTCTGGAGTGAGTGAAACTGGCCTTCTCCTTGGAGGCAAGGATTCTGAAGCTCTGTCTAACATGCTTTGATCATGTTTCAAGGAGAGACCAGTCCTTGGAGAGGGAAGTCATGCTTGGGAGGGTGGAGGGACAGCGCAGGAGAGGAAGGCCCTTGAAGAGATGGATTAATTAAGTGATTGGGATGTAATGGGGGTAAGTGTGTCAGAGATGATGAGGTTGGCTCGGGGTAGACCAGGGCTCAGAGCTGTTGTACACAGGGTTGCTATGAGTTGCAGGTGACTTGACAGCACAGAACAACAACAGCCTTTACAGACTTCAAGGCCTGTTTCTTCTGCAGTAACCACTGCCAACGTTCTGGGGATCAGCTGAGCACATAGACTTTGTGCCAACCAGGGGACTTTTTGTACCCAAGGATTAGGAACAAAACCCGTAATGTGTCTGAGAAACAACATCAGGAGGCATTTCTCTCTGAGGGCATATCTTCCTCTTGCAGAGCCTCATCTCCATGGAGGGCATGTCCCCCCACACTGCTCTCTGGTGCCTTAGATTAAGCTGTGAGGCAATGACACGGGTCAGGACAGAGGTAACGGCAAGCCATTCCTGTCACTTGGGTAATGCTATTGAGGAATTACCCCAGGCACAAGATCACACAGTTGTCCTGAGCTGTGAGGGGCATGGAGGCAGCCCCAGAGTCCCACTGGGTAACTTCTTTGTGAGGCTTTATGGTGGGCCCACCTGCCGTGGAGGAACCCTCACTCCAGCTCCGCTGTGCCGTTTGAGGTGGACTGCTGGTTTCTTTTATGTCCCAGCTAGCCAGCAGAGTGGACACTACTGGGTTCCTCGGGAGCAACTGTGCAGTGCCACACAGCCTCCCAGCGTCACCACAGGGGCCTATAGCAGAACAAGACCTGAAGAACAGTGTGCCTGGCCTACCTACTGCCGAAGAAGCCTGTCCTCTTCTTGAGCCTGGTTTTAAACACTGAGTTCTTCTTCTGCTGGGTTGCAAATACCCTGGTTTTCAGTTTCACCGGGCCCTACTGGGTGCCTAGTTAGGATTCTGTCACGTCTGATGATGAGAGCTTCCAGTTGGCTTAAGTTGGTGCAGGCATGGCCTAATCAGAACAGACTGAGTGTGTAAAATGTAGTTGTATCAGAATGACACCCAAAATGGAGAGAAGTGTGGGCTGAAGCTCTAGCATGGAGAGGTGGAAGGGTGTAGGACCCTGATATGAGGGATCGGATTTTTACCAGAACTGTGGAAAATGGCACATTGGAAGTGGTACCATTAGCTGCTGTCTTTGAGCAGGCACTGTTGTTTCCCACTCTGCAGGGCAAGAGATTTTGTTGCTCTGCGAAATGCACACACTGTCCTTGTTTACTAAGAGGGAGATTAAGATTTTCTAGCAGAAAATTTTACAAATCGGGGTCCATTCTGGTTTTGCGTCATCAGCCATGGCTGGTCTGAAGCCCTGCTGATGATTCAAAAAGATGAAGATATCGTTAGACACCCCTTGTCAAGTGTACATCGACACTCGTTGGCCTCCGTGGGTACGAAGACTGTGCATGTTAAGTCTCTGTCACCAGTCTATATCAATGGGGAAGAGTGGCTGTCGGCAGAGAAGGAATCCAGCAGGCAGTGACAGATGACACCTGCAGGTGACGCTGAGATGACACATTGACTTGCTACAGGGCTTTACGCAGACCCTCTGTCTATGGCTTCATTTCTTTGTCTGAAAATGAAGGGCCTTCCTGAGGGAGGGAGCTGCGCTGGTAACCTGACGGCACACCTTGCGGGTAGTTCCACTCCCCCAACAGCTCCCAGGGAGGGAGGTGGGCACTGTCCGCCTGTGTGATCTGCAGCCTCGGAAGCCCAGTGGAGGGTCAGTGAGGAGTCAGTTCCCATCCACCAGCAGTGAGAGGAAAGACCTGGGGGGTTCTTCCGGCTTTGACTGAACCAGTTGTCCTGTGATAAAGTGGGGACTCCCAGGGGCTGAGTGGCTCCCTGCTCTTTGCTAATTGCCGATGAGAATCCGTATTAATAAGGACTTGGGTCCCTGGGACAGACTCCCTCACACAGACCTTTTAGAGGGCAGGGTGTGTGTGTGTGTGTGTGTGTGTGTGTGTGTGTGTGTGTGTGTGTGTGTGTGTGTGTGTGTGTGTGTGTGTGCGCGCGCGCGCGCACGCGCGCGCGCGCGCGCATGTGCATGGGAGTCTTTCCCACGCAGCTTTGCATCAGTTCTCCCTACCTCCCTGAGACCCAGCCATTCATCTCAGAGCCTTGGAGGAGAGCAGCTGCTGCCCCCGAGGCCACCACCCCTCGCCTTCCTGAGTCAAGGCCTGGGGCTGAGGCTCCCGGGAAGAGTGGGCTGAAGATCCACGCCCATGCAGGAAGCGCTGTGCACAGAATTGATGGGCCGGGCCCTGGGCTAGATGCAGCTCCCCAGGGCTCCTCTCTCCCTCCTGCCACCACGCTGGCCCAGCTACCCTGCTGCTCTGCCCAGGTGGATCCTTCCATCTGGAATGCCAGCCCCTGTGTCTGGCTGTGCTGACTGCCACTTGTCCCTCCCGCCCCCTTCAGAGTGATCTTGCCCTCGTCCCTCCATCCCATAGCTGCCTGAGGTTTGCCCTCAATGCTATTGTGTAGCAGCACCAGTCCCGCCTCTAGATTCTGAGCCCAGGGGGTCAGGTCCGTGGCCATTGTCTCTGCTGTGAGCTTGAGCCGAGGCACACAGTAGGTGCTTAATGAAGATGTGAATGAATGAGTGAGTGGATCCTGTTGGGACAGTCAGGTTCGGTGGCCGATGCTTTGAGCCTGCAGCTGTGGTTGTGACATGGCAGTGAGGACCACCGATATTACTTCCCCACCTCGGGCACCCTGCTGTCTTCTGCTCTTTTATAGGGAAAGCAGTTGTCAGGAAGGATGTAGAGCTGAGGGCAAAAAGCAGGGACTGGGTTGATAATATTTTTTTCTTTGCTCAACACTCATGTGTTTGTCCACTGTTTAGATTTAAAAAGTCCCACAAACCCTGCGAGAGGCAGGTGGCCACGTGCTTAGGAGTGCCGCAGCGACAGGCAAGGTGTGTTTTTATGTCTTCTGCAGGTGGGCCGAGGAAGACTTAGAGTTAATCAACAAATGGGCCTTCCAGGGCGAGAGGATCATTCACGGGAATCCGTCTGGAGTGGACAATGCCGTCAGCACCTGGGGTAAGAGCTGCCTCAGTTTGCTCTCTTGAATGATCAGTTGCTTTCTGAGCCCTTGAGAGTACAACTAGAGAAGCCTATTGTTGTGTGCTCTCAAGTTGCCTGCGACTCACAGTGACCCTGTGTACAACAGCTCTGAAGCCTGCCCTGCCGTGAGCCAGTCTCACTGACTCGGACACACCAGCCCCCAGTGCCCCAGTTACTCTTATCAGCCCATCTCATCCAGAGTCTTCCTCTCTTGCGCTGTCTCTCAACCCTTCCGAGCACAATGTTCTTCTCCAAGGACTGGTCCCTCCTAACCACGTACCCAAAGTGTGTGAGATAGAGCCCTAGACTCTAAGGAGAAACTTGGTTTCACCTTAGGCTCTGTGATTTGGGATAGATTCTGCAGCAAATAGTCTTGGCCTATTGAAGGAAATTGAGAGAAATCTCTGAGCACTAACACACACACACACACACACACACACACACACACACACACACACACTCTCTCTCTCTCTCTCTCTCTCTCTCTCTCTCTCCCTACACCTCCCATTCCAAATGGGTACAGGGGTCTGGGATTGTGTATTTCAGTGGCCCCCAGCAGAGCCTGGCATTAGGGCCCTGGGACTGTCACTCTGAAATTTGCAGACCACACAAGTGTCAGCCTCCACTTTGAGATGGTGTTTGTTCAGTGGGTCCAGCACGGAGTCCTAGGGCGAGCTGTCAGTGGGCAGGAGGGTGGCCCGGGAGCCCACGCCTCGTCAGGAGCTGGGCTTGGAGAACCATCTTTCTCTTAAGCTGATGATCCTGGCTTTGCTGGATCACTTGTGCCCTTAAAGGGGCGAAACTTCAACCTCAGCCCACAATCCAGCCTTGCCCAGACCTGTCATTGTTCCTGCTGTTCTGACCAACTTTGTTGTCTGCTCAGGAGGAGTGCTCCGGTACCAGCAAGGACAGAGTGTATCTCTAAAGAGGTAAGGCTGCAGCGAAGCAGGTGTCCCCACAGGGCTTGCCCGGAAGGTGAGCCCCAGAGCACATGTCCTGGACTTAACTTGCCTGAAGGTGATGCCTGTAAAGGAAGCACAAGGTGACAAATGTGCTTTTCTTTTCCATCCTAGAGATGAGAGGGGAAGTCATGCCTGGCTGCCTGATTCACCTTCCAGAGACTGGTTATGCTCCCATCCTGCCAGACCCTTGCCGGCTGGCTCCTTCCTTCTTTCAGCTGTCTATTCACTTAGTAAATGAGAATTGGTATTGCGCTGCATCCCCAGTGACACCAACCTGGGGCCTGGGCAGATCAAGACAAATCTTGGCTGCGATCTGGCAGTGGGGGCTGGACACAGAGACATACATGCACAGATGCCCGTGTGGCCCAGCCAGAGAGATGCAAGGGCAGAGGGACACAGGCAGAGCCAGAGGCTTGGGAAAGACCTGTTGTTATTAGATGCCGTCGAAGTCAAGTACAACTCATAGTGACCCTATGAAGAAAAGATCTGAACCCTGTTCTGTCCTGTGCCATCCTCACACTTCCTGACACACAAGAACCCATTGCAGTGATTACCGTGTCAGTCCACCTGGTTGAAGGTCTTCCCCTCTGCTGACCCTCCAGCTTTCCCAGCGTCATGTCCCTCTCCAAGGAATAGCCCTTCCTAGCGACATGTCCAAAGTATATGAAGCGAAGCCGCATCATTCTTGCCTCCAAAGAGCACTCTGGCTGCGCCCTCTCCAAGACATATCTGTTTGTTCTCTTCTGAGCATCTGTTCAGTGCTCTTCTCCAGCACCACAGCGGGGCAAGACTTAGGGTCTAGATTACATGTGGCACCTTACCACCCGCCGTGTCCGTCACTGTTTATGTCACTCTGCCACTTACCCTAGGCCATTGTATCATGAGTATCTGTGTCTACAGTTCAACCGTTGTAGGCACTGTTTGCACCACAGTGGAGGGTCAAGGGCAGAGAAAGAAGAGGGGTAAGCAGGAGCCAGGGGCCATGATCACGTTTGTCCCAGATAGGGGGTCCTTGTTTGACTGTGAGGGTCCCAAGTGCCCCTATCTCTCTTTACCTAGAGCACTCTTTTCAGATGATCCCTCAGCAGGTCCCTCCTCTCTCTCTCTCTCTCTCTCTCTCTCTCTCTCTCTCTCTCTGCCACAGCTGGTGGATTTGAACCACCCACCTTTGGGTCAGCAGCGCAACTCCTCACCCACTAGGTCACCAGAGCTCCACCATTATAGCAGCTGAAAATGTCTCCAGACACTGGCAGATGTCCTCTGGCCTGGTTGGAACCACTGCCCTGCACAGGGGAAGAGCTTCTGGTGGCTCGTGGAGCCCTGGGGGCCCAGGTGGGACTCTGTGTGTAGCCAGGACAGAGGCGAGGCAGATGGCCTGGCCTGGGCCTGCCCTCCCGAATCTACTCTGTGCTGGAGAGCAGGCTAGTACAGGCTGTAGCTGTTTAAGAGCAGTCAGTCAGTCAGTCAGTCAGATGTGCTTTGCTGTTGATAGGTGTCCTTGAGTCGGGTAAGACCCACAGCGACCTTTGAATCTTGTCCTATCCTGTGCCATCCTCACCATCTCCGATACACGTGAGCCCATTGCTGCAGTCACGGTGTCAGTCCATCTTGTCAAAGGTCTCTCTTTCTCTGACCCTCCACCTTTCCAAGCATGATGTCCCTTTCAAAGGAATAGCCCTCTCCTGACAACATGCCCAAAGCATGTGACATGTGGTTTTGCCATCCTTGCCTCTAAGGAGTACCTGGTTTCACTTTCTCCAAAACGTGTTTGCTATGCCTTTAATAAACGTAAAGGGGGGACTTCGTTTCCTCACCCTGCCGTAGGAGAAATAGATCACAAGTGGGGCTGGAGAGGTGCTTCAAGGAACAGAAGTTTGTTCGCTTGGAGTTGGAGGATAGAAGTGCACCTTCAGGGCGCATGCTTAGGGGATAATCTTTGTCTCTTTGAGCATCTGCAGTCCTAGTGTTTCTTGTTTCCTTGGGGGTATTCATGGATCAGAAGTGGCACATTTTGCCCCCCACTCTCATCTGTGTTGGCTTCTGTATTGGCACTTTTGAGACATCCTACCCTTAATATGACCTGATTAACATAGCAGAGATACATATTTCCGAGGAGACAAAAACACAACATGAGGGGCTAAAAAGTAGAGGAGAGAGCTGGTTATGTGAGGCCTCTGATAAAGTGATCTTTGAGTCAAGAGCTGAGTGAAATGGAAGTCTTACAGATGGCCAAGGCAGGTTGCAAGCAGAGGTAGGTAGGATGGTGCAAAGGGCCTGGGGCAGGAATGTCCTGGTGTGTGACGAGCAGGAGGCAGGAGTTCTGTTGGCCTAGTGGTAAGGATGTGCACTGCCAACCCAAAGGCATGCGGTTCGAATCCACCAGATACTCCTATCGAAGAAGGGTGGGCAGTCTCTTTCCATGCAGTTTACAGCCTCTGAGGGTCAGCTGTGAGTCAGTTCTGGCCCAACAGGACCCAGCAGCAAGAGTTGGGGAGAGGGCCCATTGGAGAGACAGGCAGGTCATGTATGTGCTGACAGGCCCTTGGCTTGAGTTGTGATCATCAGATGGTAGAGGAGCCCAGGGCTTGAAGGGCTAAGGGTCTGTTGGCGGAAGACTTTGTCTAAGAAAGATAAAACAGTCCCCTGCCACCCTGACAGGCAGAATGAGGGAGCAAAGCGATTTTCAAGGCTTAGCTCGCTGCGAGCACCACCGTGAGCAGATGGCAGGTCTCCTGGGGAGCCAGGAGCTGAGGGGGTGCTCCACATTAATCCCACAGATGGCTTAAGAAGCGCCCCGGCCCCCACATCACGTGCAGCGCGACTTTCTCCATGAGCAAATGCATTATTTGGAGGTGGATCAGGACACAGCCTCCCAGAAGGCTGCCCTTTTGAGGAACGGCTCGTCTTTAAAGGAGAGGGAAGGAAAAGCCAAACAGAATGTTAATCTTTTGTGGGGGGAAAAAAAAATTTAAAAAGGACCCAGCCTGCCTCCCAGGCTGTGAATCGATATTAATTTCATGGGCTTATGGGTGGCGAGATAAAGCTGGCTGTGGCGGCCTTTTCCAGCTTGACTGGATCTTACAATCTTGAACCGTGACAAGAAAAGCGTGTAAAGGGATTGAGGGAGTCTTGTCCATTGCCGGCCCGCTGCAGCCAGTGGGGCCGGAGCAGACCCCCATTCTCTGCCTCCTGCAGCAGGCTAAGAGGCAGAATGGGGTGAGGGGGGGAAGGGTGCCTGAGGTCCCTAAACGCAACTCATCATCAGGACAGCTGAGGTCATGGCGTGAAGAGGGTTTGTAAGGCATCTGGAGCAGAGGGGGAGTAGCAGAAAACAGTGATGATGTCATAAAGTGTCTGCTCAACTAACCAGAGGTCAGCAGTTCAAATCCACCAGTTGCTCTGAGGGAGAAAATAAGCAGTCTCTTCCCTCAAAGATTCACAGCCTCAGACTCTCGTGGAGGGTGTCTTTATGGACTCCACTCAGTGGCTGTGGGATGTTTTTGTTTTGGCGTGAGGGCAGGAGAGGACGATAGGGTTATTCTCAGGTGGTTAGTGGGGCTCCCAGGTCCCTGGAGCCATGTCTGGTTTCCTGGCTGGGTCACTGAGTATGGTTCCATCAAGGCAGGACCCCTGCCCTCCCCTCCTGTGCTCCTGTCAATGTTGCTACCAGCCTGGACAGCCTTCCTGCTCTGCGGTCCGTCCTGCACTTGTTTTTCTCTCTGGACCCCAGTACTCCCACTCTGGCTTCCTGGCCCAGCCCGGATGACAAAGCCTGGCCCTGCTCCTGCGCAGGCCCTCTGCCCCTGTCCCTCTGCTGCAGCCTCGTGGTCATCTGATCACATAGCTTTGCCAGCTCGCTGCCTTGACCTTGGCCAGTCCTTTTTTTTATCCTTATACATCGAGGTAAAGCCTTTTTTGGGTCTTGTCTTATCTTCCCTCTCTGCCCTCGGTTCCCAGTCAGAGTTACAAAGGAATGAAGAGCTGGGGGGGAGCAGCCTGCCCCCTTTCTGGAGTGGGGAGGCAGCTGCTGCAGTTGGTGGAGGTGCCCTGGGCTGGCTGGCATGTGCGCGCCTGGACCGTCTCCACCTCTGTGCAGGCTTCTCCTGGGCATCTGGCACTGCCCCTCATCCTGCCCAGCTCCCCTGGCCGGAGGATCAGTGTGGACTGCTGTTCTCCCCCTGCAGGCCCCCATCTTTGAAGATCTTGCTAACCAACACCAAAGTGCCCCGCAGCACCAAAGCACTCGTGGCCGGAGTCAGGAGCAGGCTGCTGAAGGTGGGCCTCGGTCAGCTCCTGGTGGTGTCAGGGAGTCAGCTTGGGGCTGTCAGGGAGGGAAGTGGGGGAGGTGGAGCAGTGGCCCGGTGGTTGGGGTTGGAGGACGTGGGCAGATGGAATCAGCTAAGGAGGCTGGACAGGGCTTCCTGAAATGCCAGTGATCTGGCTAGTTAGACACGCAGCTCCTGATGTCATGGTGGCCAGGCAGGGCAAAGACAGGCTGGAAGGAGGGGAGAGTGGGGTGTGGGAGAGCCCGCTACACCCCTACTGGTGACAGCTGTCTGGGATCAGCCTACCCCTGGGCCTCACAGACTCTTCCTTCCCTCCACCAGTTCCCAGAAATTGTGAACCCCCTCCTCACCTCCATAGACGCCATTGCCCTGGAGTGCGAGCGGGTGCTGGGAGAGATGGAGGCTGAGCCGACCCCAGAACAGTACCTGGTGCTGGAAGTAAGAGCTGGGGGGAAGGATCAACTCAGTCAACCATCTGGGCTTGGGTGCTGCCTCTGATGTGCGGAGTCAGCACCCCAATCCTGGTCCCACAGTCGTGTGTGTGTGTGTGTGTGTGTGTGTGTATTAGTGGGGTGTGTGTCTTCCCTTTAAGCCACTTCCCAGACCATTCTGAGTTGGTGTCTGCAGGGATGCCCAGCGCTGTGCCTGGAACAGGCGGAGTGAATGGGCACAGGGTTCAGCACCCACGAGCCCCACAGGCAGTCAAGCTGGTCATCAGCACAGATCTGTCTGCCATCCCCACCTAGCAAACATCGTAGCTGGCCTCCTCTGCATGCTGCGTTTATAGGTGTTTCCCAACCATTTGCATTGGGTCAGAGGTCTCTCTGACTGCTCAGCATGTCCTCAGCCATGTGGGGAATCCCAGCAGAGAGAATTGTGGTTCTGAGCATCCCGAGTGCAGTGAGACCCTGCAGGGACAACAGTGAGCGCATAGCACAGTGCCCGGTGGGCCACCAGCTCTGTAAACCAGGGGGCACAGTCTAGTGAATGTGGGCTGACACGAAACCCAAAAGCCACCCTGGCTGCCTTTGACAGACCAAAACGCCAGACTACTGTCCCCTGTAGGGAGGGGCCATGCACACTCTACTTTACCGCAGTCCTCACCACTCCCTAAGTGTCACCTCCAGCTTGCTGTCATTATCACTGCTCCCTGTCCCCCATAGGCAGATCTTGCAATTTAAATGCCCCTTTCATATCTGGCAATTGGCCTGTGAAGCCAGTGTGTTATCCCCATTTCACAGATGTAAAAACAGACACCTAAAGAAACAGATTTTCTCTGAAGTTACCCAGCTTCGGGAGTGGCTGAGCCGGGGGTCAGACTCAGCTATTTATTCCATTATTCAGTAGTCTTTAATGAGCACCTCCTGTGGGCCCAATGCCTGCCATCTGCTTTTCTCTCTTGCTCCCTCCCTCGCTCCCCACCCCCTTTCTCTCTTGAATTCCTGCACTCTTGCCCTGAGATTCCCAGCCGTCTGCCTCCATCCCCCAAGCCTTTACCTTCTTGTCTCAGCTCTCAATTCCTTCCACGTAGAAAGGAGGGGACACAGTCCTCCTGAGTCGGAAATGAATAATGATAGAGTACTGCCTAAAATATACCCCGCCGGGCCCCCGGAGAACGCTACAGAAACAGCATGGTGATTATACATTGTGTGTATTTTTGGCTACGGCAACAGCAGCAACGCACAACTCAACTCCTGGACAGGCCCTGGCTCTCAAACCAGTGAGCTGTTCTCCTGTGTCACAACCTGTCACTTGATTCCTGACAGATTTTGGATCAGAATGTGACAGGTGCCTGGAACCTGCCTCCGCAGCATGACACCTGGTGCTCAGACAGAAAGTGAGGCCCCCAGAGGTTTGCGCTCACAGCCAGCCCACAGGGCTTGGGGGGAAGGCACAGGGGGCTGCCACCCAGCCATCATGGCCTGTCTGCTTGTTTGTCAGAGATGCTGGGACGTGTGTGAGGCGGGGCAGCAGGGAAGGGCTAATGTGACCCTGCTGCGTGACCTGCGCAGGACAGAAGAGCCAGGTGGGCCACAACGGAGGTGTCGCCATGATTGGCACCGCTCCAGGCACACAAGTACTCTAAGTACCAGGAGCTGAAATGCCAAGGGCAGTCAGTGACAGTGTGGACAGCTGTCCGGCGACCTTCAGCAAACCACATTCCCCTCTGCCTCATTTCCCCTCTTTGTAAACTGAGGACCATGGCAGACACTCATAAAACTATGATAGCAGCCCGTGTTTGCATAGTACCCTGTGCCAGCCTTTGTAGGAAAGACTTAGCCTCGTTCCAGCTTCAGAGCAATGCCGTGGGTGCATGCGTGACCCTTGACTTCCAAGAGGACAAACTGAGGCTTGGAGGGAAGGACCTGCCCAGGGAAGGCTGAGCTCGGATGCAAAACTAGGTATACTTGACCACACACCACCACCTTAACTTCCCAAAAGTCGTATTTCTATAGCGTGAGCATTGGCCACAGTGCCTGGCATGTCATAGACATTTACACCAATGGAACAAATTAAAGGTACATAGAAAATACTTGGACAGTGGAAACTACTGGTTTCATTTTGTTGGCAACCCACATCTCACTCAGACCTCAGGAGATGAGGAAGTATATTATGCATAACTGAAAGAATCTAGACAAGCATTTCATCGCCCACTCGTGAGATTGCTGGAATTACAACCCACTTTTCAGTTTGAAAATCAATTGCAAGAGATTTCCCCCCCCTCTCTAGCAAAAGAGAGAAATGCAATGCAATTAAGTTTTAGCTTAATTTGGGTGCTCAGAACAAGTTTAGGGATTCACAGCTTCAGGCATAGCTGGACCCAGGGACTGCAGTGATGTGCTTGGAAAGCATTCACCTTCCATGTAACCTCTGACCATGTGGGGAAGGGGATGACTCTGGTGGGTCACATCTGATGTCAGCTAGTATGGCAGTTCTAAGATAAAAGCCAGAGAAAATCCTGGGAGGGTCCTAAAGGGCCCCGTTTGTGTCACGTGTCCACTCCCAACCAATCATTGGGGCCAGCTGGGGGTCTCCTGTGGCCAGGCTTGGCATATGTGCTGCGTGCCATGGTGATGGTGGACTCGCCCCTTGGAGGGTCTTCAGGACACAGCGGTCTTGTGCCAGCAGAGGGGGACTGTGTGCAGGCAGTTACAGCCATTCACTGCCCTACACCAGCAGTTCTCCGGATGGACCGGAAGGGCCTGTAAATGTTCCCAAGAGCTGAGGCTCATGCGGGCCAGGTGAGAACTGACCTTCTCCTCCAGGAGCTCATCGACATGAACCAGCACCATCTGAATGCCCTTGGAGTGGGCCACGCCACTCTGGACCGGCTATGCCAGGTGACCAGGTCCCACGGACTGTACAGCAAGCTCACAGGTGCAGGCGGCGGTGGCTGTGGCATTACACTCCTCAAGCCAGGTACCCAGGGATGGGCAGGGGCCCCCTTCAGGGGCGGGAGGAGGATTGTTAGCAAGTCCTCTCTCTGCTGTGTGGCCCTGAGAAAACTAGTTAACCTCTCTGGGCCTATATTTCCTCACTGACGTCAAGCAACTTGAAAGATTGCTCCCCAGACTAAAGGAGAACGAGGCAGTGAGAGCCTGGTGCAGGCCTGGCCTGGTGGTCCACATACTTCAGAAACAGACATTGTAACCATCTTTGTCGGCTCACATCACCTCTTGCTGACATGCCCGGGATAGGGGTTTACTTGGCTATAAAACAAAATGATGTCTTTTCCATTGATCTTTGGTCTCTTTAAGACCTCAGAGTAACCCGAGAGCGGTAGATGGCATTACTTGCTCCCATTTCTAGGTGAAGAGACTGAGGTTCAGAGTGGTGAAGTCCCTTATCTGAGGCTGCAGTCCGGAGCTGAGGTCTGAGTGATTCTAGAGCTCATAATTGGTTTTTTCTTTCCCTCAATACCCTTTGAGTTTTGCCCGTTTATACAATTGAGTGTCCTGGACAGTGTTCACATCCTGTGCAGCTGTCACCAGTATCTGCCTTTAAATTTCTCCACTCCCTTAACAGGACTCAGTGCCCCCTAAGCACTGTCTCTTCCTTCCCACATCCCTCGTAATCACCAATCCCTGGTATTTCCAGCCGCCCTGGTATCCACTGATCAACTTTGTCTCCATATTCTTGCACATTCTAAGTACTTCAGATACTTGGAATAGCTTGACATTTGTCCGTTTGTAACTGTTTTCACGCGGCATGATGTTCTCCACATTCTTCCACGTCATGGCGTACCTCAGGACTCGGATTCTCTTTGTGCCTGAATAATAATGCGTGCTGTTCACCCATCGATCTGTTGGTGGGCATGCAATTTGCTGCCACCTGTTCAATGCCCTTGAGTCAACCGTAACTCACAGCGACCCTGTGAACAACTCATGTGAACGCTGCCCACCCTTGTACCCCCCTCACCGTCTCTGATGTCCTCAAGCCCACTGCCACAGTCACTGTGTCTGTCCACCTGGTTGAGGGGCTTCCTCTGGCCCTCCACCTTTCCCAGCATCATGTCCTTTTCCAAGGACTGGCCCCTGACAGCATGCCCCGAATATGTGAGACGGTCTCCCCATCCTTGCCTCTACCCTGGTAGCACCTGGTACTGAGTAGCTGTGGGCATCGCGGGAGATGTCTGTTTACGCTCCCACTTCCAATTCTTTTGTGGAATTGCAACCGCAAGTGTTATTCTTTGATTATTATTTTTTTTTGAGACACCACCATGCCATTTTCCACAGCACCTGACCCACTGCAGTCCCAGCACAGCTTCTGTTTGTCAGGAACAGCTCTTCAGCACCTGTTAGTCACATAGCCACCCGCATGGGCCTGTCATTTCCCTGTACCCCCTAAGCTCCAGCTGACCTCTTGGGAGGGTGCTGCGCTCACAGTCCAGCAGTCCCACCCCGTGAGCACTGGGCCTCTCAGAAGAACTGCACCTTGGGCCCTTTGCCTTTTGCTGGGGTGAGCACTGCCCTATGGGGAGTTTTCACTGTCACAGTAGTAAACTGCCACTTCTCCTCCCTCAGATGTGCAGCGGCAGGTGGTAGAGGCCACCAAGCAGGCCCTGACTGGCTGCGGCTTCGACTGCTGGGAAACCAGCATCGGCTCTCCTGGCGTTTCCATGCACTTGGCCTCCCTCCTGGATGCTCCCATTCGACAGGCCCTGGATATCCTCTGAGACAAGCCAAGGCCACTGCAGCCCTCCTGGGTCTCGAGTGCTGAAGTTGGCACCCTAAGTCCCCTGTGACACCCCATCTGGGGTGCATGCCTCTGGTCCCAGCAGGAGGGGTGCAGAACCTGCAGTAGACTGGCCAGGGACTCACTTGTCTCTGCATTCTACATACCATCTGGGCAGGTCAGGCAAACAGACCACTGGAGACTTAGAACAGAACAGTGACTCTGGCACCTTCCCAGGAGCGTCCACAGACCCGTCTGCCCCAGTCTTAACGCTGTCACCTTCAGCCCTCAGCCAGCTTGGTGCAGGATGTCTGGTTTCCTCAACAGCGTGCCTTCTCCGCTTCTCTGCCTCCACCACCCTTCCACCTGCCTCCTCAGGCCCAGGCTTGTCTCACCTCCACCAGGAAGCCACCCTGGATGGCAAGGGTGGCCCACTGTCCACCCAACGCACCTTCAGTCTGCTGTGATTGCCTGGAACCCTGTGTGGGTGCCTCCTGATGCTCTTCTGGACCCCGTCTCCTCCATGGGGTGTCTGGTGGTGGTCTCGGACATTGGTGGGTGATGGCAGATCCGTCTACAGTTTCATCCAGTCTGCATATGAGCAGTTTGCAGAGAAGAGAGGAGGGTGAGTAAGAAGCTCTCCGGCCCCAGTGCTCCGCTCCATGCCCCGGAAGAAGGGGAGGCTTTGGGAAGACTCCTGATACGTTCCCCTTCCCCCGCCACACACCATTTACCTTGTGTCCCTGTATCTGCGGCAGGCCCTGCTTGGCTCTCCATTGAAGGAAATAAAGGGGTTCATGTCATGTGGTCTCTGTGTGTGGACAAGATCCTGGGAGAGACTCCGTGGTGGCCTGTGCTGAGCAGGAACAGAGGTCGGCCAGGCTGACATAGGGACCCCATCTTCCTGGTCTCCCTAATGTGGTGCCAGGCTGCCTTTTCCTAAAAGAGAAACTTTTAAACTGTGCATGCAAAAGCCTGCCTTAGCTCCTGGAACACTTCTTTTCTGAACATGGCTGGGTGGAGAAAACAGAGGCAGAGGTAAAGTGTTCACAGTCCAGTGCCTGGCACATGCCTGGCCCTGTTTGAGCTGGCGGCTTAGTGATAAGAAGTTGTGCTGCCAACCCAAAGGTATGTGATTCTAATCCACCAGCTGCTCTAGGGAGAGAGAGGGGCTATCTCCTCCCAAGCGATTTATTGCCTTTGAAAGCCTGCTGGAGGGTCAGTTATGAGTCCGTTCTGACTTGATGGTATACAGGAACAACAACTTTGCAAGCACTTGGCTTTTGTTGAAGTACAGAACCTATCCGAAGACTCCCTCAGCTCACATTGCCCGCAGAAGATCTGGGAAGCCTAGATCAAGCCAGAGGTGGGGCACAAAGTCAAAGCTGGGACCAACAATTAAGAATTTACAAGCTCTGTGTGCTTCTGCCGTCGGCCACCAGGGGGCAGCGCGCGCCTTTTCCAGTGTTTTCATGGGGAGGGCTTGGAAGCAGACAGAGAAGCTGCTGGGCTCCACTCCCTGCCCCCAGCCTCTCCAGGCTGCCTTGGGCCACTGCCAAATGGCCCCAGGATCACTGATGGTGGATCCTTACACCTCAAGATAGGAAAAAAGCCCTAAAATAATGTGGTTCATACTTACTGAGCACTTTTAGTCATATGCCAGGCACTGTTCTTGTTCAAATGATGCTGAAATCCACTCTTCACCCTCTACCCCCGCCCTTGGAAGGCAACTATTGTTACATACCATCAAGTCGGAACAAACTAGCTGGAGGTTTTCCGAGGCTGTCGGGAATCACATGGGAGGAGATTATTGCCCACCTTACTCCTGCAAATTCAAACCGAGTGCCTTTCTTGATATTGGCAGTGCAGCTCCTTAGCACTAAGCCATCACACCTCCCGAGGAAGACAGCTGGACATCCCCATTTTACAGATGAGAAAACCGAGACTTCAAGAGGTCGAGTGACTTAGCCAACCTACCCAGGCTGCCGAGCACCCCCTCTATCCTCTGCTGCTACTTAAATACCGCTCTGTGCTGGTTTGTTACTACTGCCATTGCCTCATGGTGGCATAGTCTGCAGGCTGTGCTCCAGTGCACCAGCGGCTCCTTGGGAGAAAGATGGGCATTCTCCTCCCTTGTGATTCACAGCCTTCTGAAAACGCACTGGAGGAGGGTCAGCTCTGAGTCGGATCCAATTTGACAGCAACGAGCTTGAGTTTCATTCTGTCTCTGAATGTCTCTGAGAGACCTGAAAAAATTCACATTTGTACACACCCCATCTCCGGAAACCCCTTGGATTACTATTGGTAAAATGCAGCTCAGTGCCCACTGGCTTTCCTCTCTCCCAGCTTGCTCTGTGGAGAGATGGTTGCAAGTCAGCGGTCCCCAGGTCGGCACTGAGCCACCCCCAGCTTCTCCAGCTAGTCATGGATTTAACAGCTGCCCCCACAGGTTCAGTTTGTACCACGCCTCCCCCAGTTCTGGCCGTGCCTCTCGTTGGGACACAGTCAGTAAATAATGTGGTGCCCGCCGAGGTGGGGGCTGCTGGGAATGCTAACGTTCTTCCTGCCAGACAGGATATTGACTCTGAAAGCACGCTGCCCTTCACCTGCCGCAGCCGGGGTCGCTGCCCTTGGTCAGCCTGCGTGTGCCATGGCCTGGTGCTGCTACACACTTTCACTGTCACCCCTTGGCAGGTCCTTCCCACCCTTCCCTGGCTTCCAGCTGGCTTGGGGCCTGCTCCCTGCCTGTCATTTAGCCAGGCACATGCCGTGTGCCAGCTCCATCATTAAGAGGAAATAGGCTCAGAGAGGTTAGGCTACAGGCCGGCAACTGCCCAGCTAGGAAGAAGATCAAGTAGGGTTTTTCTAGCTCACTGGGCACCTGAGTTCAGGCTCATTTTCCCACCTGGAGTTAAAAAACTATTTTTTGTCTTGTATCATTGTAAAAACCTTTCTCAACAATACAGATGAGCCGAAAGTAAAAATGCCATATTTTTACCATTTAAGAGATCACTCCAGTTTTGCCCATTCCTGGCTTCATGTGTCTGTTTTTGAAAGAAAATGAAGTTGTGCTGCAATGCTGTCACGTGCTTCTTTCTCCTGTCACTTTTCAGAGTCAATATGTAGTCATTTCTCATAGTCACATGTCCCGCAAATGTCCCAAAGTCCTGCCCAGAACCACAGTCAGGCAGTTAGAGCCCTAAACTCTTTTGTTAATGTAGTCTGGCACCTTCTCTCTCTCCAGCTCCTGGACACACACACAAACTTGTCCCACGCAAGGTCTGTCCTCTGCATTTTTCCGTCCACAGTCAACCCCTCTTGTGGCCTCTGTGTGCCCAGCATGATGCCACGGCCCTGCTTTCCTCATCCCTAAGAAGCCTCCCATGGGCTGGGTACCACCTTGTGCCCATTCCGCTGATGAATAAAGAAGCCTGGGAAGGGGTAGTGCCTGTCACAGCAAACAAGCAATTGAATGAAGCCTTGAACTTAATTCCGTGCAGCCCTAGAGCCCCGATTCCAGCAACTGCTCTGGGCTGCCTCCCCATGGGGACCACTGGTAACCCCTGGAAGTCCCTAATTCTGGCCTGATTGATGCCAATAAAGTGCCAGCCTAGCCCACCCTTCCTGCCTCATCACACAGAGGTCAGAGCCGCCAGCAGCCCTGCTGTAGACCAATTGGGGCAGTAGCTGCTGCTTGCATGGAACCACCACCTCCCCTACAGCAAGGCAAACACGGTGAGGGGGGCCTGTGTGAAGGAACGGCCCGCCACAATCTGAACAAATGGATAATCACAATGGCCGCTAGCGGAAACCAGACAAATGTTCCTGTCACTTGTAGTTAGAACCCGGCAGCCAGAGGCAAGAGGGCCCATTGAGATCACATGAGATCCAACACCCCACTTGCTGCTGCTGCATAAGTGAGGATCCAGAAGGGGCAAGGGGCCCACCTGAGATCACAGAACAAGCTGCCTCGGCCTCGTTTATGGGTGCTCGTGGCTCCCTTCTCCACATCCCTCGCCCACAGGCGTCCACCACTCACCTTGAGCAGAACCAGCCGGCCATCACTTGGTGAGCAACAGACTCAGGGTCCACCCACCTGCTGACTAAGCCTGCCTTCCCTCTCTGGGAGGGGTGGGGACAAGTTCCTCGGGTCCACAAATGATCTGAAGCCCCAGGGCCACATGCAAGATGGAATTCACAATTTCTCAGGGCAAGAATAGAGGCTGACCCTCCGTGCCATGCTGGAGGAGCGCTGGTGGTGCTGCTGACCGAAGGTCCCCTGTCAATACCAGTAGCTCCTCAATGCAAAGTCGGGCAGTCTCCTCCTCTTAAACTTGATGGCCTCGAAAACCTGAAGGAGGGTCACTATGGGATTTGTATCTTAATGTCATGCATTTAATGAACAGTTCTTGCAGTGGGGTAGGATCTGAATGCCGTGTGTCCTTTGTATTCGTTGCTAAGTGGGTTTTGGTGCGTCCGGGTTGCACAGTGTTTTGAATGGTGGCCCTCAGTTGCAGTGCACCCCTCAGAAAGGTCCAGTGACTTGTCCAAGACCACAGAGCTCAGAGGAGGTGGGGCCAGATTTGAACCCTGCAGATTCTGGGCATAAGAGTCCCACACTTCTCAGCCTGACTCAGTGGTCATCTTTTCCCTTGTCACGTGCCACTGAGTCAGAACCAACTCACAGTTGACGCTCTGGTGGATTTTCAGAGGCAGTAAATTGCATGGGAGAAGATTGCCCATTGTTCTCCTGCAGAACAGCTGGTGGATTCGAACTGTGTGCCTTTGAGCTGGCAGCCCAGCTCCTTACTGCTAACAGTTTTGTTCCTTGGGGGCTGGGAACTGTCTTCCCAGGTGCAGGTAATGAGGGTGAGGGATGTTGGGTGGGCCCAGGCTCGCAAACCAGCGTCATTCATCTGAGTAATTTTTGTTTTCCTACCATGAAGCTCTGGAAGCAGGGGCGGCATCCACTTCCGAAATGACTTGCCTCCAGAAACTCTA